AGTAAAATAAAAATGCATTTAGCATTTATTAAAGTATATTCCACTGCGTTTCGTAATTTCCCACCCATAAAACCCTATAACCACCGTTTTCGTAGGAAAACATGCAGAGTAGGGATTAATGAGTGGGCCTACATAAGCTACTGTTGCCGAATTTCGTTTGCTGCGCAAAGTGTGAACTCTAATCACTGCAAATTTTGTAGTAAAATTATCCTTTAATGGATACCCAAATGCAAAGGCCTCACTTACTGAACAATGTTAATACTGCTCTCGAAGACGCCCTTCTTCAACTTGCATAAACTTTTAATTATCAGTAGTCTAATACCACTTAGACGAGGCCAGTTTTGTTACAGTAATTTAGACAACCAAATGCAAAACATCGTAGTATGAAATATTTGTTATGCTTGAAATTTAGTGCTGTTGAAGTCATATGCCTGTAGATTTATTACAAGAAATTCCACTTCAAAAAATTATTTTAGTAATAGCGATTCTTTAACCATATGGACCTTCATGCCGAAATTTACGTCCTCAGATTCATTAGAATCATTTGTTAACATTTGGCCAGAACAGCAGCAACCTTCACCAAGACGAATTACATGAACTCCTGATGTCGCATGCGACTGGGCTTGGGTGCCAGGGGAAGCAACTCGCTAATACTAACACCAAATCAGAAGGTTGCATATCCAACTCATGTCGAAGTCACCAATTGCCGAAGGTAGTTTTGTCGACAAAGCGACGATTTCCCATACAAAATGCAGAGAAGACAGAGTAGACTGTAACAGCCTTTACTGCATGAAAGGAGCTTTACATTAGGTTCTGCTAAGTGATAGCAACCGTTATGTCCTCAGGAAATTTGTATCTGTGTGTCTCCGCTGCTTTGAAGTCTTGACTGTGGAATGTGTCCTGTATTATCTATGCAGCCAATCAGGTGACATCGCGCGCATTGATGGGCTTCGAGTTTATGTGCACCTCAGGCAGCGTCGACGGGGGACCGTGGGACTGCCAGGACATCACGGGCATTAACAGCGATTAACAGCACGCGGGAAGTTGTCTGATCCCGCGCGGGTACCAAAGGCAGGAGGAGTCAGCGCATTGATACTTTGTACAGGATACCACAAGACCACGCAATAAGACTCGGCGATTAGCTTATTACAAGGCAACATATGGTATTAAAGCATTGCACAAATCCAATTGAATCTTCAGTTTCAAGGCAAGGCCCGCCAAGACATTGATAATGCTGGCAATATGCCATTTTGGTTTAGATGTATATGCAACGGCCACGGAAAGGACTGCCAACCCATTTCCGGCAGCGGGGCAAACCACAAATTGATCTGCGTTTGCGATCCATCACACCACACGGCCGGGGACAACTGTGAGATGTGTGCCCCTGGCTATCGTGACCGACCTTGGGCGCCAGCCACACCGGAAACTCCCAACCCCTGTAGAGGTGAGTATTTACTACGATCGACTCTATCTTCCTCTATCTCGTGACGG